AGGCTGTATATTGTCTCCCTGCTTATTCAACTTATATGCAGAATACATCATGCGGAAGGCTGGACTGGAGGAATCCCAAGCCGGAATCAAGATTGCCGGAAGAAATATCAACAACCTCCGATATGCAGAGGATACCACTCTGATGACAGAAAGTGAGGAGGAATTAAGGAACCTTGTAATGAGGGTGAAAGACGAGAGTGCAAAAAACGGTCTGAAACTCAACATCAAAAAAACTAAGATCATGGCCACTGGTCCCATCAACTCCTGGGCAATAGAAGGGGAAGATATGGAGGCAGTGACAGATTTTACTTTCGTGTGCTCCATGATCACTGCAGATGGAGACAGCAGTCACGAAATTAAAAGACGCCTGCTTCTTGGGAGGAAAGCGATGACAAACCTTGACAGCATGTTAAAAAGCAGAGACATCACCTTGCCAACAAAAGTCTGAATAGTCAAAGCTATGGTTTTCCCTGTAGTGATGTATGGAAGTGAGAGCTGGACCATAAAGAAAGCTGACCGCCGAAGAATTGATGCTTTTGAATTGTGGTGTTGGAGGAGGCTCTTGAGAGTCCCCTGGACTGCAAGGAGAACAAACCTATCTGTTCTAACAGAAATCAACTATTGAGTGCTCACTGGAAGGACAGATCCTGAAGCTGAGGCTCCAATCCTTTGGCCATCTCATGAGAAGACTCCCTGGAAAAGATTCTGATATTGGGGAAAGTGTGAGGGCAAGAGAAGGGGACAACAGATGACAGGATGGTTGGACAGTGTCACCAAAGCTACCAACATGAATTTGACCATACTCTGGGAGGCAGTGGAAGACAGGAGAGCCTGGTGTGCTCTGGTCCATGGGGTCACAAAGAGTCGGGCATGACTAAACAACAGGCCCACTTGAATCAGTGAGGATTTACAGAGTCAATTCCTTCCTATATTCTATTGATTCAAATGGGCCTACTCTGGCTGTGACTTACTAAACAAAAAGATTTCATCCAGTGCTATAACCCCCGTAGTAGCTCGTGGATTCTGGGAACTGCAGCCCGAAAGGGAACTTTCCTAAACTCTGATATTAAATATTTTATTGGGCCTGCTAGAAAAGAACAGGTTACTTACCTGTAAACATGGTTCTTTAAGTGGATTCTCTATGAATACACACTGATGGGTTAAACAGCGCCTGCGCTGGTTCCTCTCGGAATTTTTATTATATTATCACTGCTTCTGTTGTTTTTAACCCAAATGAATTTATTATTGCTGTGAATCTTACATTTTTTGAAGATGTGTTCAATGACGAAAATCCTAGTGAGTTTTCACACCGGCACAATACAACTAATGCACATCTTTATTACAGATTGCCACAAGTTAAAAGTTGGTACAACCACTTATGTTTTTGTAATGAATCATGTAACTTGGTGCTCAACAGAAAATGATTGTCCTAACCATGTGAGACAATTTGCTTGGAAGATTCACACCAACTGCATTATGCCAGGAGGCACAACTACAGTGGTGCCTTGCTTGACGTTAATTCGTTCCAGTGAAATCGCTGGACAGCGAAAACGTCGTCAAGCAAAATAAAAAAACCCATTGAAACGCATTGAAAACTGTTCAATGCGTTCCAATGGGTGAAATACCTGCTCGTCCAACGAAGATCCTCCATATGGCGGCCACATATGGCGGCCATTTTCTGGTGCCTGTAATGCGAGGAATCCGTCCCTAACACAGCGGGAGCCATTTTCTACAGCCAGTGGCCATTTTGAAACCCAACGATCAGCTGTTTGCTGATCGTCGTAAAGCGAAAAATCAGTTCCCAAAGCAGGGAACCCATCAACGTTAAGCAAAATTCCCCCATCTAAACATCGTTTTGCGATTACAAAATTTCAATGTTAAGTGGATTCGTCGTCAAGCGGGATATTCGTCCAGCAAGGCACCACTGTAGTAGGATTCTGATGATGATGAAGAAATTGTAGTATCTTTCAGAAGGATTTAGTGTTATTTAAACTTATTTAGTACAGCCTTCTGTGAACTGCAGCACTCTTCATAGAGGCACATAGTATTATTTTAGTGTGCACATTATGTACATTGCTTGCGTAGGACAATGTTGTCAGTTGGGTCAAGAAACTGAAATTTAGAATGATATCTGATCACTACCTCAACTGCTGTCATTACCAAATTGGCTGATAATATTGAGAATGGTTGTTGTGGGTTTTTCGGGCTCTTTGGCTGTTTCTGTAGGTTGTTCTTCCTAACGTTTTGCCAGTCTCTGTGGCCGGCATCTTCAGAGGGCAGCACTCTGTGCTCTGGTGTAGTTTGCTTGGGAGTGGAGTATTTATGGCTATGAGATAGGCTTTTGTCTTATTATAGGCTTTTGTCCTATTATAGGACAAAAGCCTATTTCACAGTCATAAATACTCCACTCCCAAGCAAACTACACCAGAGCACAGAGTGCTGCCCTCTGAAGATGCCGGCCACAGAGACTGGCAAAACGTTAGGAAGAACCTTCAGAACACGGCCAAAGAGCCCAAAAAACCCACAACAACCATTAGATCCCGGCCGTGAAAGCCTTCGCGAATACAATATTGAGAATGTTAGTCTAGACCAGGGGTCTCCAAAGTATGGCCTGTGGGCAACATCTGGCCCGCCTTGCCTTTTTATCAAACTTGTGCATGAGGGCATGCATGCAGACTGGCAGAAGTGGATGCGTGTGGGTGGGAGTGATGCATGC